GATGCTGCTGATGTTGGGAGTTCTGTGCTAGAAAAAGGCGTCGCCGAGTAATTTATGCAAAATCAAAAGAATCTTCGAATGCACGACGAAGAGCATTATATGCCCAAGCACGAGAATTGCGTAACATATGTCAACAACAACTGTGTGTTCAGAAAAGAGCGCCTCGAGCTACAGATTCCAGAAGAAAAGCAACAACAATAGCAAGATAGGGTACTTCTACAGCTGCAGCGGCCTGTGATTTTTTTTATTTGACTGTATTTGTCATTTTGTACATGTAATCTTTGTATTGGTTAATTATATTACTTNCTACAGCTGCAGCGGCCTGTGAGTTTTTTTATTTGACTGTATTTATCATTTTGTACATGTAATTTTTGTATTGGTTAATTATATTACTTCGCGGGAGAAATAATTTGAGGCTTCTTTTTTTTTTTCTCCTTTGTACAGCTCTTGTAAATTTTGGTTTTCTCTGCTATGTATTTTTAATTTTTCTTATCTAAGTTATATTTTTGTTTTAGGTGATATGCTAACTACAAGTGACGATGATGTTCAACAAACAGTCGGCTTATACTTTCACTTTTGTGCTGTGCATTGTTGTGTCTACCTGAGTTTATAGATTGTTTATTTCTTTGACTAGGTTTTACTCCTTTGCGATAATTTCAAGTGTTAGAATTATAGAATATGCCTCCAATATTTTACAGCAAATTCCAACCAAATCTTGCTTGTTACCTAGCCAACAATTTGTGATTTCTGTTGAGAAAAAAAAATTCATAAAGAAAGTAATGGTTTTTGCTGTTGTGATGAGAGTATTAAACTAAAAATCAATGATATACCTCCAGAATTACATCGTTTATTTACATCTACATCTGACGAATCATTTGACTTTAGAACTTATATTCGAAGTTACAATTGTAATTTTTCTTTTACTTCATTTGGTGTAAAGTATGATAAAAACTTGTGTCAAAAAAATAAATGAATATATTCTTTTAGGATTCAAGGGCAAATATATCATTACCTAAATGAACTTCTTCCCATGGATTCTAACCCTTCTTATCTACAACTTTATTTTTATGATACTGAAAATGAGATACAAAATCGCTTAAAAATATCAGATAGCTTTCTCAATCAATTGTTGAAAAATTAGTTCACATTTTAGACATAAATCCATACGCAAATTTTTTTAAAAGTTTAACCAATGTTGCTGATTTGGAAAGCTGTAAAATAAAAATTACATATAATTTGGGTATGGATCAGAGAGTTTATAATGCTCCAACAGTATCGCAAGCGGCTGCAATTTTGGTTAATGATGAACGGTCTGATGTTGGGTTTCGTGATATATCTGTTTATGTCCATTCTGGTAATAAGCATAGAATAAACTATTATTTTGGATGTTATGATCCTCT